AAATGGCAGTAAGCTAATCTGGCTGTACACGTCGCACCTTTCTCTCGAGGACTGCGCTCTTCAGATACGCATGGCCCGCAACGTCGTGGAGTCCGCACCAAAGTCGATGAGGAGCTGCATCATCTTCCTCAGTTGCCATACATGAGGACCAAAAGGCCAAGTCGACCCGAACTCTTCACGGAAGGAAAGCACGCCCCAACTTCCAGGATCGCCCAACTGTTGGGCACAAAAACAACATTCCCAGATGCCCCGAGCATCCCCCAAAGCGTCAAAGCCTGGTTGATTGCATCTCCAAGCATCAAATCGCCCGCCCGGGCAGCCACATGGAGGGGATAGGAGCGCTGAAACCCAAAGCAGGAGACCTTCGGAGCATTCACCTGAGCTGATGAGGCCGGCCATACACCTCGGCAACAGTACCTGGGTTTCGGAGGCCGTCCATGGGATGAGAATAAGGCGGAGCCGACCAATTGTGCCAAACACATCCGGAGGCACCATCGGGCCGGTTTGAGGTTCTGCAAAGCGAACCCCGAAAGGCAAGTGATGTGAAAACACGGTCAGTGACCGTGACCAATAGGAGTCCTATTCCAAGCAATTGGCCTGTGGTTCAATCATTTTTTGCAGTAAGTGTCTATACAATGGGTCGCACAAGAAAAGCGCTATAACATGTTAAAGCAACTGCCTCTCTCTTTAATCGGCACATGGATAATGGATATCATAAGTGTCTATACAATGGATCTGCAAAACATCTGCAAACAACCCTCCCATCACAATGGTTCGACCTTCTTCCACGGCCAAGCCGCATCGCTGAACTGATGCAAGCGGAGAAATTCTTCCACCTTCTCCCGGTCACGTTCCTTCGATCGCAAACGATCGGGACGTTCATGACCGGATACGACGCAGGAGATGTACAGGCAAACTTGGTGTCCGAATCTGCACTAGCCGGATGCAACACTTGAGAGTTTAGTACCCTTATTGGGGTTCTACCCCCCCAACAAGAATATAACACACAAACAAGAAACAGGTGACGTCTACGCCATGGTGAGTAAAGGTCTGCCAGTTGCACAATTTCGTGGCATGCCAAGTGGACCTTCGCCTGAGATATTTGGAAAGTGTACACAATCACATCAGCATGGCGGTTTACATCACGCAAGACATCCACTCCCAGCCCATATCAGCCCATATAATATCAGCTTTCCTCACTGCATGCGCATGACTCGTCCAAAAATATGGTTCTTTCAGTGCCATCATGTCAGGTGCCCACCCAAAATATCGGCGCATGGCTTGGTCCAGGCACCAGGCGCATTTTCTTCCTGAGCTCCTTGCATGCCTGATTTTTCAGGCCAAAGGGGTGCCGAACATCCGCGACATGCGACGTTGTTTCTGCTGAATTTCTTGCTCTTAGACTCTTGTTATTGCTTTTTATGCTTGAAAGGGTTTTGTCGCATAGCTGACTCAGTCCATCTCAGTCCGGTGGCCCTTGCTATGTATGAAGAACCCTTCAAGAAACAGGGCCGAACTCAATGCATCAATATGCATCACATAGTGTTCACACGATGATATGGGGATACACTTTGTGTTTGGATATTTGCAAAGCTCAATACTCCAATATCTAAACTTCAGATTGTGAAGCACTTTTACGCAAGCAAGGAGAACTCAGGCAGCGCTTCAGGCAGCACCGTCTTCACGACCATACGTCACCGCGGCACCTGTTGCCATCGTCGTATCCGAATCTTCATCTCCATCCGTTCTGCCACCGCCTGGGTCCTGCGGCGATAGCTAATAAGGGATCTGTATAGCTGAAAAGTCAGGGGTATCTGCTCTGCAGAAATTGATCAGGGGCCTAGGGGTGAATGTGGAGATGAATTCGTAGTGAACTACAAAGTACAGACAACAGCCGTGCACCACTCAGTCTGGGCATGTCTGGGTGCCAATTACAGTAAGGGGATGTGATTCTACTTGAGCATCATGCGCACAGAGGATTAACCAACCCCCCCTATTAATCAAGCCCAGCTGGAGCCTCCAATACTAAACTAATTAAAACCCTGCAACCTCCCCCTGATAATTTTATTCCTTGCCAGAACCCCCAGCTCCCCCCAGAACAAAAGAATAGTTCACTATTGCATTTATGCTTGTTTTACGTTGTTTTATACTTTAATTTCTTGTATTCAATATCTTCTGGTCCATGGTGAAACTGATCTTCTGATCCACCCTTGTCATCATCAGGTCATCATCTTTATTAAGGGGATGTGGTCTCCAATCCCTCCAATCCCAAACCTTGTTGACCTTGTTGACCTTGAAGGGGGGGTGGGGAGGGGGGGTTGATTAATCCGGTGTCGACATTACTAGAACCACATCAGTCGCCTGCAAGGGTTGTCATCAATCTCTTTGTCAAATTCTCAATGCATAGACCCACCATAAGCTTACTTGTCTGATGAATTACCTACATGCAAAAATGCTTCTTCCAAACCAAACAACCTGCCAGCTGAAACTGTTTGGTGCCAACCTGCCTGAAAGTCAGTGGGGCCGCTGTTCGCAGGAAGGGGTTGCAGTTACATCGCGTGGGAAACAACCAGCCATGAGGAAAGCAAAGAACCTATTGGAACCGCCAACACCTCAGTTGTCGTTTCGCCTGTTCTTTGTTGACAGTTTTGATGTGGGTCCCCAGCCCTTTTGCCGCTGGGCTGCTGGTGGCTGACTGCCCCCCCTGGTTCCCAAGTCTGCCGAAGTGCGAACACCAAGCAACCACTGCAAAGCCGAGGCAGGATAAACAATTTCATCCGGTTGCATGGACTAAACCATAATCGAAGTTCTGCGATTGATCCAACTCCCCTACCCGACCCAGGGTTGGTTGGTGTGGAATTCCGGTCGACCAGCTCACGTCTAGATCTACTCCAGCAATACCGACCCGGAAATCATAGTTTACAGTAGGCCTGACATGAGCTGACCATCTCAAAACTCTAAACATCTCACATCTCACCTTCTTTCTCCATCGCCCACGTCTGTCCCTGTCTTTCCGACACCACCTCCGTCGCCCCGACAAGGCCAGCCAAAAGATTTCGGTTTGTTGGTTGATCCATGTTGATCCCATGCTTTTGTATGTTTGAGCTTGGGGGTGACGATTTGTCGACCTTCCCACACTAGCTTTCAGGCCCAGGAACGCAATGCCAATGCCACTGGGCAGGATGAGCCTTTGCCTTTCACCGACCTGCGCCCGTTTGAGACGGCGAGACGGCCTTCACTGATCACATCAACCTGCCTCAAGGGTGAGAAAATGGTGGGCCATAGGATCCAATGAATCCAATGAATTGTTGTTTGAATTTGTTTGGGATTCTTTTCTCCCATGATTGGAAACCACCCAAAGAGAAGGCTCCGTCCAGGTTTCTGCTTGTAACTCTCCTGTGCGGACTGCGAATTGACGATGCGGACTGGGCAAGCAAACCACCCCGACACTACCCACAAGGGCTATGGCTGTACCGGACCCATTGCGGGAATGCACCTGGAACTCATTGTCCAATGTCCCAACGTCCACTTCCGGTGGAATTCGAGCCATGCGCATGCGCAGGAGATTCCCCGCCACTGTAAGAAAATTGAGCAGTCCGGAAGAGCTGCGGCAGAAAATCACAAGCTACCAATCCACAAGTATTTATTTCAATTGTTGGTTCCTTTGTGCAGTTGGCTGGCGTTTGCAGCGTTAAAGCTGGTCATATTTTGGAGCACTGAATCTGAAATGGTCATTTTATGGTCATTTTCTAGCCACACAGTTGAATCTGAAAAATCGGTCATAGTCCTACAGTATGTTACAGTAACCTTTTTCTGCCTGTTGTATTGGGAAGCCGCTTGCCAAGAAAGGTTTTTCAGGTTATACACCTTTCCTGGTAGGTGGAAGACTCCTCGAATGACACAAACATCCCGATGGATTCCCTCCCACTTCCCCCCGAGACCACCACTCCGCGCTGGTTACTGCGCTGGTTATGGTCCCGTGCGCGCGTTGGTAGAAGAGATCAGCACCGCCGAAAATGTGGTACCTGCCGTTGTCGGGGAGACAAGTGGGCTAGCTAGCTAGGATTCCAACCATTAATCATTGTTTTACCGTAATTAAGAGGCTTTACCTAACCATCATTACAAAGCCAGGTCAACCAATTTTAAATGGTCTTGAGACTTGGAAGTCTTGGAAGTCGTGTTTCATTGGGTGAAGGAAAGTTGTCTCACGGCCTGCAGGAACAACTTCTAGCACCTCTCGCTGCCAATCATCGATCAAACCCCTCGAAGTAGATTCCCAGGGCCCCTGGCCTGTCAGGGGTGGTCAATGGATACCCCAAATCACCTCTAAGGAGCTATAATTAGACACCCCAAACAGGGGGGGCCCGTTGGCGCGATCTAAACCAAAAAGGTGCCCAACTTCATCCTCTGCTCAGGTTGCTCAGGCTCCACTCGCGCTTGGGTTTGGGGCGACATCCACGAACCCAACATCGACGTCCCCGCAGAACGCCTGGCCTTGGCTCTAGCCTCAAAGAGCAAGCAAACACGGTTGGAACAGCTTTCGGCCTCGAACATGAACTGGATCTGTACATATGGTGTTGATTTGATGACATGAAAGGAATCATCTGATGGCCTCAGGGGCAAGTGGAGCAATCAATCAATTCCATGAATTCCTGGGACACCTTGAGAAACAGTTACAGTTACATCGGTGACCTAATGAGCTGGATCGAACAGCTCAACCCTTCGATTCCTTTTGGACCGCGACAGATACCTCCGCTCCACCGAGTTGGGGGAAGCGGCAGGATGCACCCGGCGGACAACTGGTGGTCCACCAAAATGATGAATCACAAGAGTTTGAGGTTTCAGTCTCAACCGCACTATCAACTTCCGCATGTTTTTGGCCCAGTGACATGGTGCTTTCACGTGACCATTCCAGTTCTGACCAGCAAACCCCCAGCGCGGGCACTTCTCGGTCCGGTCTCACCCACCGGAGTTCACACGTGGGGAGCACGGTCCCCACGTCATCCTTCCGGCTTTGGAAATGGCTCAAAGGACTTGCTCCGCTCCCGACCACGATGCTCCTCCCTTCGCTGTGGCTCGGTCCTCAGACGTTTTCTGGGGCGAGGCACGGTGGCCAACGATCGGAGGGGCGTCAGACGGGCCCAGGGAGGCTGCTACACCAGTCTCAGATGCATGGCTATAGCGGGAGGCCTTTTTTTCAAACTCCATGATGTATGGATCGGATGTTGGATGTTTGTGTGAAACACACCCAAGATCCCAAACACATCCAATGATTTTCCAGGTCCAAATCCAAGCGAGAGGTGTGGAGATGCTCGTGCCACCAGGCGAGGTGGCACTCGTCGAGGTCCATTGCATCAGCCCCATACCGCAAAGCAACCAGCAGAGGTTGAAGAACCCTAGTGCGACTCTCCTAGTTCGGTGCCCCAGGTGACGGGTCCTAGTTCAGGTCACAAAAAAACTGTTGGAAATCTCGAAAAGAAGGAAAACCATACCCACCAGCAGTTCCAAAAAGGCTTCATGGATCCTTAGGCGGTGCCCCTTATTCACGATTCGTGACGTAACTAAGAAGCCCATCGCCGCTTGTGACCCCTGGCATGGTGTATTAATCCGGCCTTCTCCGCTTCGCTCTCCCTGAAAAAAGCCCGGAATGATTTGAAATGCCTTGGACTTAACTACTTATTATATATAGAAGAACATCTTAGTAACCAACCCACAGCACCCGAAAACCACAAAAAAGAACGTGAGGACCCCTGCAGTAATAGCTTGAGTGAGATCTTGACCTCTCTCTTCCTCGAATCACTTTTCCACACCACCGGCGTCCGTCCCTTTTCCCGCCCAGCGACATCGACGAGGACCGCTGCAGCCGCGCCGACGCCGTGGAGACGCCCGACGCGTCGCCGTGCGCGTCGGCGCCGTGCTCGTCCGCTTGGAGCGGGCCGACCAGCAGCCTGGAAGAGCGTGGAAGCGCTTTCAGTGCTTTTGGGGGGCGCATCACAAGCGCCATGCCTTTGGGGGGAGGGGAGGGGGTTGATAGGGGTTAGTAGGAGCCAGGCAGTTTCTGTTCGAATCTGCCATTTACCAGCTGAAAGATGCCGAAAACCGTCGGTGGGAGACGAGGGAGCTTGAGGGAGTGTATACGCCTCTGATTCCCGAACCACCGCCATCGACCCATATCGATTCAGTCGCAGAATGCCTTAGACCTTGCACGATAATCTGTAATCCTACTCAAGTTATCTCAAGTTTGAATTATACATATAATCAAATACTACGAATACTGATGATACGGTAACATATGGTGCATATGATACGCGTAACATTACATGTATCTCAAATGATCTCCAGTCCTTCACCATCTTCACCCACTTCCTCTTGCTCTGCTCTTCCATCCTCATCTCCCCACACTCACTCCGCGACACCGTTTGAAGCGCGCCTGGTCGCCCGTTCAGAGAGGCGCAAGTCCATGGGCGAAGGCGGTGAGGGCAAGGTGCCCAAGTTCGGCAGGTAGGGCTTCACCACCGCCGCGCCCGCCACCGCCGGTGCCACAGGCCCTGGATGGGGGGCCCAGTGGTCGGACATCATTCGAACTGACAGTGAAAGTGGGACATTCCCTAGGTGTGGAACACCCTGGCTCCGGCTTTTGGGTGTGCTTGATTTGGAGAATCACCACCCGTGGCGGTGGCTTAAACATGTCCGGAACCCAAATATCACTCCAGCCCTTCTGATGGGTCATGCCCCAGCCCAATGCTTCCGTCGTGCTTCCCACATGCTCAATCCGCCATGAACAGCCTCAAGGTCTCTCTGACACGGCCTTGTTTGGGGTCCCAAGGACATCTTCAAGTCCAAAGACTATTCTTGGCACCACCGAAGTTATATAATGGAAATTCCTCTTTGGATCAGCCAAAGATTTTTTTGGGTCTTGGACTCTCAGGGTTGTGCTTAATTGATATCAAAATGTCCTTCAAAACCCTGGCCTCCGGGTTACCCGAAGCAACGCCTTCGCCCGGATTCTTCGGATCCAAAAAGGCGATCAAAAGTGCTTCGGATCAAAAAGCACCCCCCTCCAATGCTCAGCACGGCTCCCGTGGCTTGGGACGTCGCTCTCTGTCGCGCGATCAGGACAGCACCGCCACCCAAGAAGGCGGGTCTACCCTCCTCCCTCGAGACCCGGAGCACAGCCAGACCCGTGCAGCGCGCACCTTCGGCCAGACCCAGACCGCAGGCGGCCGGGTTCGGCTCGTCCGGCAGCCGTTCGCCATCGCCAGCATCGCCCCAGGTGAGGTCCTCGTGAGGTGCAGGAAGAATCAACCAAATGTGATTTTAATTTTAAGCCAATGGTGTTTAGATAAGGGGCTTCACCATCTTCACCAGCAACCACAGCCTTCGATATCTTTCGATGTAGATTTCAGGCCTTGTAGTTGCATTTGGATATTGATGATTTCCATTGATTTCCAAGATTTTCCCATAAGGCCATATGGGTCTGTTTTGTTGTGACTAGGGGTCCCGGCATTTCCGCTGGACCTCTCCTCCTTCCCCATCCTGCCGTCGGCGTCCTGCCACGCGGGCGCGGCCGCGCGTTGCAGCAGCGCATCCGTCTGCAGGCCGCCCACGGAGTGGAGACCATCGTAGAGGCCGTGGATCTTTGCCACGTGCTCCTCAGCGCGGAGTCGAAAGGCTTCGGTCGCCCATGTTGGTGTGGAAGGCAGTCTGAGCCCAGGCACGAAAAATGGGACTGCCATGTCGGACTGTCGAGAAACGGCCAGGGGTGGTTTTGGTCAATGTAGCAATATATGGCAGTCCCATTTGTCGTGTCTGGGGAGGATGGAGGAATTTGGGGGGTTGGACATCTGTTGAACTCACGGACCTCGCACCACAACCTGAGATCAAGGCGAAGGATCCATCTCGAGATGCCACAAACAGAAACCACAGGTTCTGACGGAAAACTATGGATTGAAAGCAACCCCCAATTGAAGCAGTATTTAGACAGTGAATCCTATAGGTTCTGTGCTGGTTTTGGGACGTTCTTTCACTCGTGGTATCGGTGGATGCCGGTGTCGCGCGTCTGCGTGCCGGTTCAGCGTAGCGGTTCGATGGGTCGGGGGGGCCCACTGGTCTTCAAGAAGCCATATCTCGCTCCCTTGGTGTGTGTTTTTCCATCCAAGACTTAGTAAGGCCGAACGAACCTGAATGACCTCTGGACCACCAACTACCCAAGATGTTGGGTCTTTTCATGTCTTTTCCCATCAAAACAGAGGTCAAATGGGTTTGAGGGGTGTCCATGCTCCAAAGTTCATTCCATGTTCATCCGGAAGACTTGGTGTTCAGCATTAACAGCCATTCTTGCTCTTGCAACGGTCAGGGCTTGGTGTGTTGGGGGGGGCCCTCTCTCTTTCAGCGTCGATGGGATGAAGAAACGATGGGACTTGTCGACGACTCGGTGAGATGCCATGTCTGCCGGAGGCGCAGACGGGCTGCCGGGCCCGAGCCAGCTGAGACAGCCAGGGTGTAGCTGAACATGCGGCAGTTCTATTGGACAGTTTCGTTAAATGTGCTCCTGCTGCACCTTAACGGTTCAACGTTGAATCAACGGTTTCACCACCACAACGACGTGTGGCATGGCCGTTTGCAATGACCAGCTCCCTATAGGTTGCAACCCCTACCCACCGTGCTCTCCTTGATGGCCGCCCTGTAGTGGCACACCTCTTGTTCACTGGGCGGCGGAGCACCATTCTGCAACTTCACCTGGCGGTCGCGACGGGTCCAGCAGTACGGCTCCAAGGTTCGGTTTGTAGGTTGTGCGCGGCCTGGCCCGGTGGGAGGGGCGCAAAGGTGGGACAAGAGTTCGCCGATACCAGGACACCCCAAGGTGAATCTATAATAGCCCTTAGAGGTTAAGGGGTGTCCATTAACCACCCCTTATGGGTCCTAGAAGGAACTGTCTATCACCCGACTCTACAGGTCTCCTCTGCAGGCTTTGGCTGACTTATATACAGGTCGCAGGTGGCGACCTATAGAGTCGATCTTCCGATCTGCCTCCACCCGGCCGTGACCGGCGGCCTTCGGCGCCCATGTGGTGTGCAAGAACCACCCAACGGTGCTCACGGGGCTTCCTTCCATCCAACGGTGCAGGCGGTCCCTGCCATGGTGAGCGGGGCCGGTCACGTGCGGCGCCTTGAGGTTGGAGATGGCGCGGAGCCACAACTTCCGCTCGGCCAGGCTGCGCGCGGAGAACTGATGCTCCTCCACGCTGAAGCAGCTGCAATTGATGCCTCAGCTCACTCGTAGGGGGAAGGTGGGTAGTAGGGGAAGGTGAAGTGCCTCAATCCCAGACGAAAGAGAGGTGAGGGTATAGAGTAGGGCATAGGTGGGGCGTGTTAACTGGTCCATCGGGCGCTTGGGTTCTTTTTGCACTCCAACGATGGTTGGCAGGGAGTCTGGTGAAAAAGCGTGATTTGGTGGAGAGGGGGCAGGCACTGGGGCAGGCTATAGCAAGAATTAAGTAATGAGAGTAATGAGCAAGCTGACGGGCAATGGCCTCCGTGCCGGGCTAAGTCGTACGGTTGAAGAATTCAGCGCCAAATGCCGGGGCTGGAGACTTGATGGCGGCGATTCATCACACACCATGAGGATCCAACCACCCCAGGCAGTGTTCCAAATCTCACGCTCATCAAAAAAAACACCCCGGTCGGCATCCTCCATCAACCGTTGTCGACGCACTCACTCCGAACCAACGGATGTTCAGACCAATCTACCAGCAACAAATGCATGTAATTTCACATGTCATCAAAGGTCAGCTGCAAATGTGTGAAATGACGGTGCCAGTGACCCTGCCACATGACCAAACGGCTGAAATGCGGTATGAAGTAACTGGCGTGACATGTGAAATGCAGTAGACCCTGCTACATGACCCTGCCGCACCGAACTTCCAGCCCGGCAAGAAATGGGCTCCGATCCAAGATGCCAATCTTCTCGCAGCAAATGGACCGCTCAGTCACATACATCTCACTCAGCTGATGTGCACAGGTCCTCAGATGATCTGAGTCACAACATGGTCCAGTCATACATGAGGACTCGACGAGTCAACGAGCGTATAGTGGTGGTTTCAGAGGTTCGAAGGCACTGGCACCCAAAAATGTCTTAGACAAATGGGGGTCCACCACCGACGTTGGGGTAACTTGTGCCACCTACTCTGAAAACGATGATTGTTGGGCTTGGTGTGGTGCTCTGGAACATTTCTTGGAGCAACCTGGTGCGGAAAATTCAAGGACACCTCAAAACCTCGTGGAACACACCCACTTTCATTTCTTCATGCTTTTGAGATATGCTGCAAAGGTTTCCCCCAAAGCGCTCTCAAGCATTCCCAAGCACTTGGCATTAACAAACTGGTCCAACATGAACTTCCATGGATCAAACCACCAGCCAAGCGGCTCATCTTCATAGAAAATGAATCGGGCATGGTCTTGCCTGCGGAATGAAAGGGTCCGCCAGCCAAATTGCATCACGATTCTTCAACTCTCTGGGATACGTTCTCGCTGGTTTTATACAGCTACTGAGCTGAGAGACCCCAAATCGAAGCCCAAAAAACACCCGAGTCACCCCATACTTTATATTGAAAAAATCGCCAACAGTTTCTTGTACAAATTTCTTATCTCAACAATCCTAATTTCTGGTGGACCTCGCTCCTGGCATTCTTGTGGGAAACCAAAAGCATCAACTAACCCCAACTATTCTGTATAAGTAAGCATGAGTTATACTCCTGACTCACCTGCATGGAAGTGGATGGCATGGCCCCTTGGAAGACCACTTTCCTTTATGAACCGGTGGCGTTTTCTCACTTCCATGTGGTGTGTTCGTCGGAGTGTCCCCCACCAGCGCCGGCAAAACCCACCATCCACATCCATCCTGTTCACGTGCAGCTCACAGTAGAGGACCGAGGCAGTAAAGCAATCATCGTAGTGTACCAGGTATCCCGCCATCAACCGCCCTTTCGTCAGCTCGTGCAAGTCCGCCGAGCACGGAATCGGATCCTCACGTCGTCGCCCAGGATGGGGGAGAAGACGCAGAGAGGGGAAGCGTCACAGGGAAAGGCGAAGGGAAGAGGGTCCCAAATGGACTACAGTAGTTCAAATAGAAAAACGATTTGAACAGTTCAGGTGCTCTACAGATGGGAGATGTTTTTGTGGCATCCAAGATTTGGCCAAAAAAAACACGGTAAATAGCAGGCAAATTCTGCAAGCTAAGCACCTCTGCAAGGTTTGGAGTTTCTTGTATACAAACATGTTGTTTGGACCGGGCCTTCAGGGAAGAAAAAAGAAAAACAACAACAATAGTTATATATATATAGGTTAGACCAGGTGGAGGAGTGATCAACTTCCCAGGTAACAAGTTCTTTTCTTCTGGTGTCTTCTCTATAGGCGTTTCCATTGCTCCAGCAGGTTGTAATTTCTAGACGTTCAAAAGTGTCTTAGTTGTGGACACTAAAGGAAAGCTGCTGCAATCGTCACAAGGATTTTTCTTGGCCAGATATGTCAAGTTGCTTTGTCTGGTTTGGCTCTTTCAAAGAAGGTAGTGAGCCACGTGCCGTGCAAGAAAATGGCTTTGCCTTCTATCCAGGCAGCAAGTTGCATATTCTGTTGGTTTTCTTGTCATAGTTCTTGCTTCCCTTGGTTTGGACCAGATGCCGGCCAAACCTACAGCAATTAAGTAGATAAAATCGTATATTATGTGGTATTATATATTGTGTATGATTGATCCTGGGCAAAGAAAGATCCTTTCGCATGCACATCTTGCCTAGGTCTCAGAACAGTTTTCTGTTGCCTTGGCTTTTTGTGTTTCCCATGCGAATTGGGATACCGAACGCGCTCTCTCAGACACACAGGCTGTTACGAAGCTCAAGTCCTGGGGACCCACCAATCAAACATAATTACCTGGCTCCCCTCCTCCCAAAAAGAAGAAGATACCTATACCGCTTCCTGTAATAAGATGTAATAAGTAGCTTCTCCATTTGAAATACCTTGCCCTGTTCCCAAGCCGGCCGGGCCCACACCACACCCGCCTGCCCCCCTGCCACGAGCCGAGGCTCGCAGGTGATCCGAAACGGCGGGAAGAGCGACTGCGTCACCAGGCGCGTGATGCGGGACACGTCCAGGACCCAGCGCGAGCGCTCCTCCTCCGCGTCGCGCTCGCAGCTGCCGCGCAGGCCGAAGTAGTAACAGGCGCCCTGCGCGAAGAGCGAGATCCTCAGGTTGCGAGCTCCGCAGGACTCACCGTTGCGGTGGAGGTTCTGACAGGAAAACCCCCTCTTCTTTTGCTTCCTGAGGATCCATGAAAGTCTGGTCAACAAAAGGGCACGTCAATGATGCGCGATCAGGCGCGGAAACAAAGGCATATGGCCCACATACAAATACACTTCCGGACTGTTGGCAGCGGTGTGACCCGAAAAATCATGAACAATCCATACACCCAGCACGACGCGCAAAAAATCCCAAGGATCTTGAAGATCTTGAACTCCGAAAAGTTCATGCCCGCTTGTGTGCTCCTCAGGACGTGAGGAGCAGAAAACAGCAGGCAGGATCTTGTGCCGTGCTGACCCCGTGCGCGTGCGATCAGACCGGCGCACGCGGCGCCGGTCTCGCATGATGAGGGCCACGGTTAGGGGACAAATGCCAAGACAAAGGTGGTAGAACCACCCTAGAAGTCGTGGCCCACCATGGTTTTACTAGCCTGAATCCCGGTCCCAACCATTGTTTCACTAAGGGTTTTACACCACAAAACCAGATCAACCATTTTAAAATGGTCTTTGACTTCCAGGAATCCAGGGACCAGACTCAGAGTGATTTTCCATCGATATACACTCTAGACTCTCTAGAGACGTTGACCTTCATTCGATCGGTTCGCTTGGGGGGGCACCGCTGGATATCTGGCCAAGTAGGTAAAAATCTAGAAGGTGTCACACCAGGAGGGGTTTATGAAACACGTGCCGCTGAAACACTGAAGGTACATGGCCTTACATGGCAGTAAACAGCCATGCTGAAACAGCCATGGCCAGGCCACATGCCAAGACGAACGTAACAGCAAGGAGGACAGTTATTGTCCGTGTCTCCCTTCAGGCAAGATGGGGACCTCCAGTTGGCTGGAATCCGGCTTCCTCTTACAACTGGGAAATATATGCCCAGCTCAACCAATCCCAAATCACAAATCATCCATCATCTAATGAGAAAAGGGGCATTCCTGAGAGTCCCTTCAGCTAGCTGACTAGCTGGCAGCTGACCTTCTCAAATACATTGGGCGATCTAATGTTCAACCAAGGCGCTGAAACTTGCAGTTTCTCACCAACGTGAAGGGAGACAAAGAGATGGCCACCTCCATTTGGTCTCTGATGGGTCTTTCGAGCGTGGCCAAAGCTCATGCCGAAAAATGGTGCCAAAAACTATTCCCAATGGTCTCCAGCGGGAGAAGCCATGCGCAAACCGCAACAAGAAGCGCTCTGTTGCTCAACCTTCTTCCTTGCCTTCCAGAACAGGAGACCAAACACATCAAAAGAACCAAATCTAAACAGATGTGTTCCAATCCATCGCGTCTTTCATGTTTCCCCTCACAATAGAGGGGTCTCCTGTTGCCATGACACCTGAAGGCCATATGAACCCCCATCTAAATCCTCACCCCTCCACCGGTTTCCTGCGACGAGAACACCGCGGTCCACCCGGCGTCTCGGACATGGGGTGGAAACGTCAGTTTACTGGATCCCGTCAGTTCGTGGGTTAAGACATGTTCGTGGGTTAAGTATGGTTAAGTGATAAATGACTGCAAATACATGGGTTGATTTGTTGAAAGAACACCTCTTAGTATTTGTAGTCATTTATGTGTAGCTCACGAAAAGCTTCCACGAGGCAACAATTGAAGCCTAAGAGGTCTTAGTATCCTTAGGTCCCTCTGAAACATCATCCTTTAGGGCACGTCAAACCAGTTAAGGCTTGGAAACCCGTCTTCTTCAGTCATGCCAAGATGCTTGGCTCACAATACTGACTTTCAATTGAGTTTTACTATTTTGAGGAAGACTTCAAAGATCCCATCATCTTGGTCCAAGCCTTGCTCACCTATATGTTTCTCCGGACCGGTGGAGTCCTGAAGGTGCTCGTTTCGAGTCCACGTCTTCCGCCGCCCACGACGGCTCGTCAAGACTCCCACCTCCTGGCCGTCGGCGAAGAAGCGGAAGCCGTTCACGTGGAGAAAGACCCTCACTTGGTCCACCTTCTCCTCGCGTGTTTTAGGCCCTCTTCCCGGAAAGGAGAGCGCGGGAAACTTCGGGAATGGAGCCAGCGTTTGGGTGGGCGGCGAAAGTCTTCGGAACATGTAGAAATTTGAAACCTGACATGCTTGGAAAATCTTGGAAACCATTGGTCTGTATCTATCCCCACTGGTGTTGACTTTTGCATGCTTCTGAAGGGGTGATCTCAATTGATCTCATGCACTTGCCGGACATCCCACACCTCTCAGCTGCAAATCCCCCTGGGTTTGCAATTCCAGTGTGACCCCGCAGCGTCGAGGAACACCAGATCTTTCGCAAACATGGAGCTCAGTCTGAACCACCCCTGCTACAGGGGTGGAAGGAAATGTGTGGCATGGCCCCTATGGAAGACCTCTAGAAAGAGGGCGGGGCGTTAGTGTGAGAGTGTATCACCGGCTATTTCCAATTCTTGGTTCCTGCCATCCAGGAAAAATCTAAGCCACTGAGTGCTGTTTGTAGTGTTTCTCTGCTGCCAGGCGTGACGCCTGGTCCTTTCCACGATGCTATGATGGCTTCCGGTCGAGACGCTGAGATAGGATAGGGTCGTCCAGTTCTTCTATGGGTCAAAACCAGGATACCTTGGTTAACGTACCGGGGAGGTCAAGCTATATGGTGGACCAGGGTTCCAGGTTTTGCCCCATCCCCACATGGTCTATGAGTCTATGGGTCTTGTAATCAACTCCTTGAAGATGACTCTAGCCATGATTTGAAGCATCCAACGGCCTTGGGCCAGAGTGCACTGCGTCGTTGATCGGTCACAGCTCCAAGACGCCTGTTCAACACTCCCACAGGTCAGTGTTTAGACGCCTGGGGACAGGTCCAAAAGTCTTGAGCATCTGGATGTCCCCCACATGGCTCTCAAGTCCGAAAAGAGAACACTTTCTGGTTGCCCATCTCTCTTTTCACATCTAGACATACACGCCCAAGAAATACACATGCTGACGTGGAAGGCCTTGCAGGCGCCTAACAAGATGATCAGGCTTCCTCAAGCTGGTTTGCTCTTCCACTTCCATTGTCAGGGAGTGTAATCCCCACAGACTGGACCCTTCATCCGACCCCTTGATGCTCGCGCTGCGCAACCCCTTCGGACCTCCATGGGGCCCTTTCAACCCAGGTTTTTCCTCTGGAAGAGACCTCCACGGGGGGGGCCCTGGTAACAGGAAAGCGCTGCATCGTGGTCGCGTGCATCGTGGAAGGCTATTGAAACGATGGCCTTCCTCAGGCCTGCTTCATGCTCACCATGGGACCATAAAGAGTGACTTGACTTCTGGACCTCTGCGACTGTCAAAACCAAACAAAAACACTCCTTCTGCTTCTTCCAAGTCTTCCCACACCTCCCACTCTCTCTTCTTCCCCCGCCACGCCACGCGCCGGACCCGACCCCCCCCCCAACCCCACCGCACCGAAGCTCCCCGCGTCCACCGCGCGCGCGGTCTCTCTCTCCTCCGTGGAGAGGTGCCACAGGTCGCCCTCGCGGATGGGGACGCCCCTTAAGGGTTGGTCGGCGGACATGGAGTAGGCCAGTCGGCCCATGGGCGGCGGCAGCTTTGGCAGGACCTTCTCCTCGCCGCCGACACCCACGGAGAGATCGGACACGCGCGGACGGCCGCGGGACCTTCCAGATGCCACGCACGGCGATGGGGAAAGGTTTGAAGCCAAAAAGAAGGTGCTGTAGAAAGACTTTGGGCGGTCATGCTGAATCACTGAAGTAGCATGAAACATGTCGAACAATTGAACTTCTCCCTCCCTCCTGCTCGCGCGCGCGCTCTCTCTCTCTCTCTCTGTGCTTGTCGGCTTGCTCCAAAGCTTATTTTAGGAGATGGAGATTGTCACCTTGCGACGCGTACAGTAATTGCACCACTTGGACTTGTATCTTATATGATCTTATTATGATCTTATATGCATGTTGTCCATATGCCATAGACCCTCCAAGCATACTTGTATATGGATCATTCACGGATCGATAGCAATGCAGTCTGCATGCAGTCTGCATGCAGTCTGCATGCAGTCTGCAGAAGCTCACCAGCTCCCATTCCACTCGATCTTCAACCGGAGCTCACCAGCTCCACCCGACCGGTGACCGGTGATGCGCCGGTGACCGCTTCGTTCACGCCGCGTCCTCTTCGACCTCTTCCAGTGGAGGCATCCCCGGCGCGCGGTCCACGACCTCGCGCTCCACCTGAGGGAGAAAGGTCTGCAGGAGGAGGAAAAGGGTCTGCAGGAGGAGGACTTCATCGTGATTTCTTAGAAGACATATGATATAGTATCTTGTTTGAAGCTGTTGCATAAAAAGCACATAATGTCGCCGTACTAGTAGGGCCAAGTGTGTTCGATCATGATTTCTGGCATCTTCAAGCCAACTTCCAATTGATCCTACTACTGTCCGTGCGCCCAAAATAAGCACGGTGTGTCGCATGCCCTGAGTTTCCTCGATCAAACCCGCTTGGCATAGGGTGATGCAGAACCTCCTGGGTCCACCACCTCCGAAGTCCCACAGATGCAGCGGCACAGCGCGCCCGCGCTCGCCATGCCATCAGCACCCAGGTTGGCGGTGAAGACGACACCGCCGACGGACCCCGTGGAGTGGAACGGACCGACAGTGCAGCTGATGAGGCGATGGTACAGTTTGAGGTTGTTCCATCTGATCTTGGGAGGTCAACGCGACAAAACGGATCAAATCCGAATCCTTTGGAGATGAAAAGGATGAAATTTGGGTTTCAATGATGGTAGGGTGATGAACCTGTGTGTCCAGCATCTCTTCCGATCCCAAACCTCCTTGCAGCTGTATGGGTTGGATCACTGAGTTGGATCATCCCACGAACTGGGAGAACTGGGGCGGGCTTCAGCAGGGTGAAGAGGGGTCATAAGAGGACCACCTGCCAATAGGTTTAAGGACTTTTTAAGTACTGTAATGTATGAGCCCCATGTGTTCTTTCTCGTGGGATCGTTTCTACTTCTGGTCTCTGCTGTGTTTCATGTTGCGCCCGCTGCTCTCTGAGCCGTGGCAGGTGGAAGAGTGAAAAAAGGCAGCCTGATCTAAAATCCGGTATGAAAAGGAGGTCTTGTAAGGAGGTCTGGTGTGATAGAAATACAATACACCATGTCTAGAGGAGGAACTGGGCCTTGAGAACCAAATTACCCACCCAAACACCCACAGGTTGAGAGCCTTCAGAGACACCCAAACACTGTCAGAGACACCCAAGGTGTTCATGCTTGCGGGACGGGGTTGGGACCTTGGGGGGGCCCTGACAAATCAAAAAAACTCATACACTCTGACTCACTCACATGGAAAACCACCTGTTTCGTTGTCAACGAAAATCATCTTCACAGGGTCCATTGTCCAATTCCATGTTAGTGAGGTAGAGTGTAGCATGGTTCCAAAGGAGTTCGCAGTTCACTCCAATCATCAATCCTTCAGTCCGTCTAACCCAGACCACATCCAGTTCATGCTACCCAGTTCGCAGTTCCTCCACCTCATCTGGATGGGAGGTGGATGGTACCCAGAACGCAACATCATTGGATCTGGCACCATTCACCATCCACCTCCCCCCATCCGTGCCATCGTCCGATGCCCTGCCGCCCAGTGGCGCCACACACAGCTCGGCGACGGCTGGGGAGCTGATCTGGCCACGGAGGGGACGGAGCGGAGGGTGGGTGCGGGGTGAGTGAAAGATGAGCCAGTTGACCAGGGGAGTGTCGTCACAAAAAGGGAGGTACCAAAACGGGGGTGAAGATGAATCATCTTCTACCTAGCACTTCCAACGGGTGCCCTGTCTGGAGACCTGTTTACGTAGCGTAGGGTAGTCTATTGGACACTCATTGGATGATCCTGGCATGAAATTGCACAAAAACAAATACCACCCAACTGTCCAACTCACTGGCTCATTCCAGTTATATAGATCGCGTGTCGTGGGCGAAACGCTCTTGCACACCTCACTGACAGGTGCATACGCTCACAGAGCCCATAAGTCAGCCCAAGTACCAAAGTACCAAAGAAAGCTGTCCTACTGCCTTGGCTTTGACGTGTCAGTGCTTCCCTTCTACTTCAGGATGTTCTTTACCAGTGGCACAGTGCGATATGCCCAAAGAGACTGCGCCGGATCCCCAAGTCCTAACGACATCCGTGCTCGTTGGCTGTTCTCAGCAGCAGAGAGTCGATGGCTCAATCCGGGCGCCTTGGCCCAGTCGATCTCGTGACCTTGGCCCAGCAACTCAGTGCACATGCGGTTCGTGGTCTCTAATAGACTACCCGAAAAGCTGCTTCGGCTGGATGTCCATGTGTTTGTTCGCCTTGGAAGGGGCAGGTACTACGGTACGTGTGCTTGATGCACCGGTAGCACCGGTAGCACCGGTATCCAACCAAATGCCAGGTTCTTTGACCTGCACCCCCTCGTCTCCTCTCTCTCTCTCTCTCCAAGAAAGGTCAGCGAGGTATTAAACACTACACCATGACTGAAAGATCAACACATGCGATACTTCCATCTAATTCTACCTGGTTCCCAGCTAGTTAACTAACTGCCCTTCCAGCACCGGCCTAGCATGAACTCAGGCAAGTGACCAAACCGCAAGCCGGATCCGAAGAGGCCACCACTCGGTGGCCTAACCTGGACCCTCAAGAGCTCAGTATGTCATGCCACTACGCCATCACTGATTTCTCAGTTGGGAGTTTATCTCACTTCCAGCTTCTCCTCCGATTCTTTCTTACACTTGATGGCCTGTTCAAGCTCTCAATCCTGCTTCTGCTGCAGCCTTCAACAGGACCCCTAAAGGCCCAAATTCGCCTCTGAAGAATATCATCAAAACACAGCGCTCAGCAGCTCAACCCACCCACCTGCGTCCGCCCCGCGTGCGTCCGCCCCCTTTTCATCTCCCCCGCGAGGCCCTGCGCCGCGCTGGCGCGGTCCTCCGGCGCTTCGGCCAATGCGCTGCACAGCCACCTGAGGGTTGTGCCACCGATCGACCACCACCTCTTGGGAGAGTTCCCTGGGAAATCTGGTGAAAGTTCGACCGGAGGAATGTTCCTCTTGGATTCATTCGGTTTTTCTTCTGACTATTAAACATGTTGTGTGAGTTGTGTGTGCTTTGGTTAATTGAATCATCTGCGGGGTCGCCGCTAAGGGAGAACCCTGTGGGGGGAGGAAAAAAAACGGAGATGGGACACTTTCTTCAGGTCCTTCAGCCAGTCTGGGACCATCCGAGCCGGTCATCGCCCGGAGCCGGTCATCGCCGTTTTAGCATACCAAACCTGCATCCTGTGGCGTTTTGTCAATGGTGTTGAACCTGCCCAATTCCAACATTCAAACAACACCTTCAACTTGTTACACTGTGCAACACGTTTAACTTACAGTATATTCCGATTCCCGTTTAACGTACTTTGTGTAGGGCCCAGGTGGACATGTCCACAACAACGCTGCAAATGTAAGAACTCATGTTGCAACCCATGTTGAAAGAGAAGCAGGAACTTCTTGCTCAGTCCTTAATTTTATCCAAACGATGAAACATGATGAAACGATCTCCAAAAAAGTAGGCAAAAACATATAAAAGCACTGTTTTATCAAAAGTTTTAACAATCTCCGTAACCTATGAAAGGGCCATACAAACAGCCTATTCTGCTAACTAGCTTGGATCTATTGCAGACTTGTGCTGAGTAGGACCATCTCTCCCCCGCCCAGACGCCCAACCGCCCCTGGCCTGGCCGACCTCTCCGCCTCGGAGGTGTCCTCCGGCTTCGCCGCCCTCAAGCGACCGTGCAGCTCCTTTCGTGCGGACCGGCGTGCGATCGCGGAGCGCGGATCGCGGATCGCGGACCGGGGTCGGATCTGTTGGGAAAGCTCTGTTACGATCGGACTGACGGAAGGACACAATTGGAGCTGTTGAATCCGGTTTGCCACCAGAAACGCCGTGCCACTTTTGCTGCTTTTTCCTGGTAGGGATCTTTTGAAATCTTTTGCCACCAGTTAAGGTCAAAGCAATCAACAAACTGTGCGGCTGAAGCTGATGAATCATCTGGTGAGTGTGTCACCGTGCTCCATGTCAAGCACATGATCGGAGTTCTGGTGAGTGGCGAGTGGATTGCAAGCTATCCTGGCGTTCGGTGTCTCCTTCACCATCTGGACCCACCGGAAAGCGACAATGGCGCAAAGGTTGCCCCGTGCTCTTTCTGCGGATTGCTTCAACAGGGCAGTCAAGGCCTTACGTCAGAAAACCATGCCAACATGAGAAAACCAAAAAATGTTGCATTGATGTTGCCGGACCCAGCTCCCCCTTCCTTTTGGCCTCCATCTGCTGCTGTGGGCTGAGTGCATAGAAGCGCCGCCAGCCTCTGCGTGGCTCTGGGACGAGGATGAATGACATCCAGGTCTCGTCGTGGGCTGAAAGGTCAAACAGCCCTGCAGAGAATTCCATAGTGGACCAGCCACACCTTAATGTAGACTCTTGATGAGCTAATCTGCCCCAATTTGGATGCGCGGACGCCTTTTCATATGGGTGGTTTGTGCATCAAGAGTCTACCTCCAAAAGGGGTTTCAAGGTCCTGGTTTCATATGTCCAGTCCCCCCGGCCGCCGCGTTGGCAACCCTTCCGATTTGGCACACTTGATTCACGTGTGTAGGTATACCCTCCCACGACCTCACATGGAACCGGGTCGAATAGACCGGTAGGTTTCGACGATTTGACGAACACCCACCCGGTGGTGTTGGGGGGGGTCCATGTAAACAAATGCCGGGGAGTACATTCCATACATGGAGTGTGTGGGAGTCAAAACATTCCAAACTCTTAAGCCAAAGACGAGCATCTGATTCCACATGCAATGAGCAATTTAGCCCTACCTCTCCAGGAGAAAACATGAGAGGTATATAAAAGCATGAAAGACCATGAGTCGTGAGCAATTGATTTCCCCCCCCCACGAGTCTTTCCATGTCAGATTTCTGACCATGACCATGCCATTGAATTCACTTTCTTTGCAAATCAATTTGATGTCTTCCCATGTCTGAACGGCTCCGGCTCGTCACGAACCGAACCGAACCGGCCGCTCCTGGGAAGGAAATGCGGTCCCCATCCACGTGGATCTCGAAGGGCGTCTCCTCTAGCAAGGCAGGCTTTCGTCAGAGGGCCGGGACCGAAACCACCCCAGTCACCTGACGGTTTTTGGGGAGAAGGAAAAGGATCCATGCGATTTTCGACATTCACACCATGTTTGAGGGACATAACTGAAACATTCCATGTCATCTCCATTCATTACAATGATTCATTGATGCGTTCCATGCATTCACACAAATTGAAATGGGTTGAAAAAAATGATTTGGGAGTCGCCCCCCCCCAACAACTCAACTCGCATCAAAATGGCCCAATTAACTCACTTCGATCCCCCCCAACTGGAGTCACCTCTGGGCCATTCATGTGGGCCATTCGGAGGGTAGCTGTTCCTACGATTCCACGGAGCATCGCCAATCACCAATCACACTCTCTTGTTCTTAGGAAACGTCCGACAAACTGTTTCATGTTTGTGTTTCTTACTTGCTCTGAATCTGACAATCTGATCAAGCAGAATCTCTCACCTTTTTCTATCTGTTTCAGCAACCCCTGCTCAGTCAACCCTGCCCTGGCTGCGATCCCACTCCCTTTTTGTGGTCGTGAACGCGAAGAATAGCTCGCTCTCATTCAGCGACCGTCTCAGCGTCGGCAGGAGCGGGGAGTTGCGTCGTGCTATCGGAGGTCTCCACCCAGGGCCGGTGCAGTTGAACCTCGGGCGATCAGGAACTGGGCGGCAGCTGGTGCTTTTTTCTCTTGAAGCCTCTCCAGAAGTGTTTGATGGTTGGTGGTGGCACTTGATTTAAACAAAGTGCATATTCATATTGAAGTTGTAGTGTCCAAAGTCTACACATCTCATCCTCGGTTTTACAATCCAAGAGTCTACAATTACAGTGAGGGATTCGGATGATGGTTCCAGGTCGGCTTCTCGACCTCCAAACAGGGCCAGTCCAGCACAAACACAGCGGTTTCGCCCTGTAAATCACACGTGATCCACCTGTCCTGAGCGGGGAACACACCACTATAGTAAGGTAGCCTTCAAAGACCATTAAAAGAAAGGTTGCCCAAATGTTGTAGTATTAAGCCCTTAAAGTAAAACAATGGTTGCAAGGCGTATAGGCTTCAAAATGGAGTCACAGGGATCAATTGGCATGGTTAGGTTTCTTGAGCCGAAGGAAAGCCATGGTGTTTCGAGGCAGGCCATGCTTGCCGCAGATGGAGGTGGTCGGAGCCTCAAGTCAAGGTACGAACAAAGAGGCCTAAAATGCCCAACCTGGAAGTCAGGGGCCCAGCGGTTGCATCAGACCGAGTTGATTTTTCCGGTCGCATCAGACCTAGTTTTCACTGTCCCTCCAGCGGTCATCTTGAACGTTTCATCTTAGACACTTGGACAGCAGTGAGCAACCCTCAAAGGGTGACCTGGAGATGATCCAATCGCTGTTGGGAGGAGCTTCTCCCCCTTCTGACAAGGTATATGGAGCCTCTTATCCACCCGGCAGCACGCGCCTACATGCAAACACCTTCCCAAACCGCTCGAAAATCGTCGCACCCCTTGAAACCAAGGCTCTACATGGCAGGTTTGTGGCGAAGACGCCATCCAGAAAGCATGGCCTGGCGCTCTCTCGGACGACATGACTCGGCGTCAGAGGTGGCGAGGACATGACATGTGTCGTGGGAGCAGGAAACGTGTCGGTCTCAGGAGGGCATGTTCCAAAACCAACTCAAAACGAGTTACCAGCATCAGATCTTTGATCTTGGCTGGGCCACGGCAGGCCCGCTGGCAAGGTGGGACCCTGAATAGACACGATCCAAAGTGAAATGATTGGAATATCATGGAATATCCCTAATTACCCGGGATATATCCTACATTGACCCCCAAACCACCCCTGACCTGATCAGCAGTCCCATGGAGCATCTGGGTACTATGTCGTGCCTCCGCAACGTGCCAACAAAAATCCGCATAGACGACAGAAGGAGCCAGCCAATCAACTCGCAACTCCTGGTCCGTCACGTGCCATCGCCACCCCAACAGACTGGGCTCCACTCCAGCCCAGTCCGTCGTCCGCCTTCGGCACTGTACAGTAGCCCCGCCACATCTCGTTCCAATTGCAATTGTTTCGCTGAAAGCCTGGGCCGAGGCCGAGCCATACCCCGCCCCTCCGGGCCCCTCCGGGGGGGGTCGGTCCGGAGGAAGATTCGCTGGGGGGGGTCTCGCATGGCAGGGTGGTCCGTCCGAGATGTGAGATGAGTGGGGATCTACTTTCTGATCTCGTTGGAGGCTTTTCCATGCCCTGAGGTCCTCCCACCTGGGCTGAAGGGCCACCGTTCAGCCAGCCGGGCCGACCGTCTCACCGGGGAACGCGGACGGACGTTCGAAAGAAGGACCTTAAGAGGACCAAGAGGCTCTTCCAGGATTTGGTAGACCTTCCGGAACTTTTCGGCCTCCTGCCGCCGGCGCATGGAATTCCGGGCGGATTTTGCAGGCAGATCTCCTCTACACTCAGTGCACATTATATAGCTGCATATTCAATCCTTCAATCCCTGTTAGAATTCTGGGGGTGATGTTGGGGACCTCACATGTTGCAAGAAAAGTGTGTATAACATGTATGTCCCCCCTGGGATTCTCAGAATTGGAAGACCTCAAAGTATTTTGCTTACAAAATGATGGCTCCTGCAACCATCAGAAACGAGGGGCTGCTACAAAATGAGATTCCAGGGATACCCTTGTTCGGCTATTCCAGCAAACATGGTCAAAGATGGGGTCACTACAAAATGACATGTCAGCCACTCAAGGTAAAATCAGCGCAAATCTCAGGCTCAAGAGCCTAGTGTCTCTACAAAATGATATGTCAGCCATCCAGAAATTGACATCTTTCAGCACTGACTCCAGAACGTAAGATCCCTACAATATGACGTTCCAGGGTAAGCTTTCTAGGAGACAAGGCCAAGATCCCCTATAGAATGACCACCCCATGGTGTTAAAAACCAACATATGTTATATATAAATTCATCTGTAAGGTGCCCAAGATCACTGATTCTATAGGAAAAATGATAACGAGGATCATATTCATTCATAGGATGACATATAGATACCCTGGAAGACTTCTTTTCCACCACCCGCGGCACCGTGCCGATCCGTGCCGGAGTTCTTCCCGCGCCTGGCGCTCGAGGTCGAACATGGCCGCGGTCATCGCTTGCTGCGCACGCTGCATCGAATCTTCGATTCGGCGCGCGCCTGGCGCGGTGGCGCCCGCGGTGCCGGCCGCGGTGGGTGGAAAGGGGATCGAAACGCTGGGAGGATTTCCAGGGTGGCTGGATGTTCCAACGTTGATGCATGCAAGGACATGCTGACATGGACCTCGTTCTCTTAACCCTCGGTCCTGCTACGAGAGTGACCCCACCTGGGCGAATCCCAGCCCGAGGACGGAGGTCCCAGCCTTCATCGGTTGGGCTTGCCATTGGAAAGCACTGGCTCCAAGAGAACCCCCGACGACGGGCTAAACACATCAGCTTGAGCCCAAGTGGCCGCGTGCGGCGTTCGCCACTGCTTTCGAACGTCTTTTGGGGGCGCACGTTTCGCGACGGCTGATGTGCTCTGGTTCGGCCTCCAGGATGCATGCGCTTCCGTTTTCCTGAACCATGACGGAAACACCGCTACGTAGTCTGGCCATGTTGTTGATCACCTAGTTTGCAAGGCGTTTACTTCCCATTGTAGAATGGTCTGGAGGTTTTAATTCACACCGTGACACCACCCAAGTACGTGGGACGAGTAATGTCCCACACCTGTACCCAAACAGGTTCCTTGAACAAATGTGATGTGCAGCCGTGCAGCACTTCGTCTGTTTCTCACCATGTCGAACCTCAAAAGCCTGAATCAAAGACTGAAGTTCTGCAACGTTTGCCTCAAAGACCCTGAGGAGACTTCAGAAACAAACATCAAACACATCCAACAAACTCGCCAAAACCAATGCATCCAACCACTCGCCCAAACCCAAACACTGCCCCCTTCTGTCATCCCCCCAATCCGCCGTTCCCCACCACAGCAACGTACGTTGCCGCTCCTCGCCCGTTAAGAGCCACCAGTAGAGGATCCCCACACCTCCGGCCCGCGTGGCGGGCACCAAAAGGCTCAGACGAGGGGAGTTGCTTCCCTGCAGGTTGGGAACAGGACGTACGATGTCGATGTTGAAGGTTCGATTTCAGGCTGCAATTTCGTGCATGGCCGGGTGGTTTTATGAAGCAGTCTGAGATGGGGAAAAAAAGAAGATCGACGAATAAAATGTGACATGCGGAAGAATGTGGCACCTCCCGGTTGTGAACTTTTTTGGCCTGGTCTCCATAGAGAATCTGAGCTTCATTTTGCAGGAACATGTCATCAACTTTAAACTGACCATGTTCTTCCCCCCTTGGAAACACAAAAGAAGGACTTATTGCACTTCCTTTTGAACAAGATTGAACAAGTCACTTGAACAAGTCCCTTCACTTGCGCTTGTCTTCGGCCTTGAAAATCCACTTCGGCCCCAAAATCCGCCTTGTTCGACCCTGACCCTTCAGCTGACAGCTCCCACACACCCCGCAGCTCCCCCGGCTCGGCGCTCCGGGCCATAAACGTCGCTGGCGCCCGCCGTCAGCAGTCCACGCAGGACTTCCGGTGGGGTCGCAGCGAGGTTCCCACAGAAGGCCTGCAGAAGTGTCGGCGGTGGATGGCGGTGGATGGCGGTGGATGTGCCATGGATGTGCCATGATGTTCAATGATGTTCTCTCTTCTCTTGAGCATCTGGGTTTAAGGGTTTCTTACGGTTTCTTTCTCTTCTCAAGAGCTGGCTTTAGCCGGGCAACCCGGCGGATGTTCAGGACTTTTTGGGAGGACATCCGACTCCACTCATCACATCCGACTCCACACATCTCCGGAGGCACGTCGCCTTAACTTTCAATTCCGAATTGATGTGGTCGGATGTGGTCGGCCCTGGAAGAATCTCCTGGAGATGGGCCTGGAGAATCTCTCCCGTTTGGGATCCAGTCGTACCTTGTCAGGTACGCTGATTGGAGACACTATGTAGGTGCCAGGAGGGTCCAGTCGTACCTTCTGGTTCCGATTTTGAAGTGGTGCCACGGTGTGCCACGTGGTCCTTTCAGCCTTGGCTTCCAGATCTACGAACTTCCCACCTCCTTCATTCAGCTTGGCCATTCCTGGCACCCAGTCAACGTGCCAACGAACCCTGCCTCGCAGTCATAGCAAGCTGAATAGACGTCAATGTTCCGCGGCTGCCTCACTCAGCCCAATGGATGCGTCGGTGGACGCTCTTCGCTTCCGGTGGATAGGAAGCAAGTCGACGAACCAACACCTGCAAGTTTATGTGGTTCCCTACCACTCCAACTCACGAGGTTTTGGAAGAGGTTCTCTCTCTTCCAGAGAAGCTGCTCCGACTGTTAGACAGTTGGACGGGCCCTGTGAGCTCGGTATCAAACTGAAACATGAGACAAAACTAGGCCCTGGATCCAAGTGTTCCTGGGCATCAGCTCAACTACAAGAAGCACTCTGTTGCTAAGCACGCTGTTGCTCTTTTCTATCTGATGTGTGTGTGTGTGTCACCCCCTGTATCTAAGGGTTCCACCTCTAACCTCTGG